ATTCTAGTCCCGGCCCTACAGGGCTCGGAGGGCTCTTTCTTGCATCAACCTCTACCCGTCACCACTGCTGCTTCATCATTTCATAAAACCCTTATATCTCCTCGCTTTCCCTTCCATAATTAAATATAAAATATTTAAGTAGTAAATAGTGTATTAGGGAAAAAATTCCTGTTTCTAGACTGTACCTGCTTATAATAGGAAATAGTTTTATTTTTCCGTGAGTTCATGATCAGAATAGATGATCTTTCAGCTCTGGAAGGCAGTGGAAATTAACCTGAGAAGTGCAGGCAACGGGTTAGACGAGAGCTTGGCTTTGGCATGTTGCGTAGACAACTGTAGATCACAACCAGCTGAGAAGGTACAGAAAGAGAAGGACCCAAAGACAGAAAAGAAAGGTGAGGTCAGAGTTGGGGATTCCAGGCAAGGGTACAGGCTAGCAGGTGAGGCACAGCCCTCCAGAAGTCCTCACCCAGTGGCATGGCCCGTGCAGATGTGGATGGTCTGAGCGCCTTGTCGTGAACCAGTCCTGAGAGGGACTGTCATTCAGAAACTGTGGCAGGTGGACATCATTATCCCTCAGTGCCCCTTGAGGTGTGCAGAGCCCAGGGCAGAGACTTTCCTTGCAGTGGCTTGTGAAGAATCGCCAGGCAGTGCTGCCTGGTGAGCGTGGCAGTGCTGGGCAGGGGTATCTTGACTGGGACCCATGCCCAGGTAGAGCCAACTATCTTAAGACCTCAAGGTTTGGTGAACACTCGTTCCCCCCCAGCATAGCTAAGTGAGACTTGTTCTCCTATTTTCTGATTATTGCCCTTTTCCTTTCCTTCTTTAGTCAATACTCCCTTCCACTTCCATCCTTGGGCCTTGCTCGTGGCATTCGCTCAGTTAGAACGCTGAACTGTAAATGCATCTTTCCTACCAAATCTAAACAGGTGCATCCTTAGAACTCCTTCTCAAGATCTATTTTCTAAGGCCTTTGGATCAACTCCTCTGTGCCCTCAGAAGCACTGTGAGCCCTCCTCTGGTGCTAATTGGGAGGCAGTAAGGTGAGTGGAAAGAACTTGGAATTAGGCAGACCTCGGCTGGAATTCCGGTCTCCATCCTTAATTAGCTCTAATATATAGTAAATCAATTTCTCTGAGCCCTGTGTCCTCATCTGAAAAGTTGGGAATAAAATCTTACCTTGCAAGTCTGTTGTATAAAATATGGAAATGTATATTATCATGGAAAGCCCTTAGGACAATTCCTGGCACATAGCAGATACCCGGTACACACTGGTTTTTATTTTCAGCTTTTAACATGTGGAAACTGTGGGCAGAAATGCATTTAGGAGAGAGGAATCAGGAAGCCAGGACTGGGAGAGAGAAAGTAAGATGGGGGACAGATGTTGAGGCCAGCATGTATGAAGCACTACAAGTTGGGGTATGTCCAGACCCAAACGCAAGGGGAGCCAGGATCAGACGCCAGGGGAGCAGTGAGAAACTATACAAGCAGCTCATGAGCAGACGTCATGGCACAGATGTGGCCACTGACTCAGTGCTAGAATCAGGAAGAGCATGAAACAGCATTCTTGACCATGGTGTAATAAAGATATACAGCTAACATTTTCTGAACACTGACTTTGCCAGATCCTGCTCTAAGTGTACCATTCATTTTGTTCTCACAACAGCCCTGTGAATTAAGTACTATTATAACCGTCTCCAATTTATAGAGGAAGACACAAAAACAGGCTGTTTAAATGACTTGCCTAAAAAAACACAGTAAGTGTGGCAGAGCCTGGATGCCAACCCAGACAGTGGCTCCAGAGCCCATGATTTTACTACCCTCCAGTAGGTATCTCCAACTGGAAGCCTTTCTTTGCTTATCTAGGGACCAAACCAAAAGATGAGCAGCCCTCAAAGGGTAGTCAGAGCAAATTAACCCTAATGTACTTATTGCTAATGTTTTTAACTTAACAAATGGTTAAAACAGCATTTGTGAAGATCTGTGTTCCTGGCACTGTGTTAATGTGCCTTGTGTGCATTCTTTAATTCCCTTAACTATTATGCAAGAAATCATCGTATCTATTTTATAAGTGAAAAAACGAGGCTCTTGGAGTTGCTTTCTTCCCCTTCATATCGAAAGCGTACTCCTTTTCCATCCACTCCTCATCCTACAACTATCTAGCTACTGATTCAAGTTCTCCACTGAAACGCCTCCTACTGAGATTACGAAGGATCATGCAGGGGACATTTTTCAATGATTAACTCAATGACTCACTCTCCTGCACTCCTGCTGGATGACCACTCCGTCTTTCATCATTTCCAGGGCCATAGTTTGTTCCAGGACAGCCTCTCTGACCTCTTTTCCCCACTCAGATCTTCCTATTTCTGTTTTCTTATGCTGGTCCTTAAATGTGGATCTTCTCCAGAAACACATTCACATGCCTCCTTAATCTACACACTCTCCTTGAATGTTTCACCCACTTCCTGAGCTCAGCTACCACTGCAGTGCCAAAGGTAGAGGCGATGGTGCCGGACACCCATAAACCAGAGACAGAGATGGTTTACATACTGCAGTTCTCCTGTCTGTATCTCAAATTCAAGTGCATCAAGCTCAACACATGCAACCTTTTTCTGGACCGCCCCCCAGCCCTGCTGTCCTGGCCCCACCCTGTCCTCCTCGTCATTATTTTGGTTGAGGTGCTGCCATCCACCCAGTTACTCAAACCTAGAACCTGAAAGTCATGTTTGCCTCCTGCACCCTCCCAGTCCACTCAGTGTTCAGGAACTGTCAATTCTACCTCCTCTTCTGGATTTACTGACTTCTCTCTACAGACATGGGAAAACCTAGTAGAAGGGAACAACATCTCTCACCCAGTTGACTGGCATAGTTCCCTCGCTCTTCTTCCTCCAGCCTGGCCCTTCTACTGTTTTCTCTATCCTAGTCATAAACTTTTTAAAGCTCAAATGCAGAAAATGATATGATCAGATCTGAGGTTTTAACCCCTTCTTTGACCTTCATTCCTCTCCAAGTTTCATTNCCTCCAGCCTGGCCCTTCTACTGTTTTCTCTATCCTAGTCATAAACTTTTTAAAGCTCAAATGCAGAAAATGATATGATCAGATCTGAGGTTTTAACCCCTTCTTTGACCATTCCTCTCCAAGTTTCATCGCTCTCTAAGGATAGACTCTAAGCTCCTCAATGAGGTATTCAAAGCTCTCTGGAATCCTGTTTCTGCCTGCCTTTGGACCCCATTTCTTGCCACTCCGACCCTGCTTTCCAATTGCACCGAACGTTTTGTGGTTTCCTAAACACACCAGGTCTGCCTAATTTTTCTCAGCATTTAATAGCCCAAAAGTCACCTCCTCCAGGAAGCCTTTTCTGATTCACCATGCTGGGTTAGGTGTTTCTCATTAATGCTCCCTTGTTCTTTTGTGAATATTTCTGTCACTTTTTTCAATATCCATTTATGATTATTCCCATGTTCATCTTCTCCACTAGTTGGGAATTTCTTGGTTGAGGGCAGGAACTATTGAATTCTCAGGATCCAGCACATAATAGGCTCTTAATGAATGCTTGTTGAATGAACAAATGATTTATTTTCCCAAGGGTGCATTGCAAATAAGTTCAGTTCTCAAATTGGAACCAAAATCTGTTGTACTCTAAAACCCATATTCTTTTCACTAATGCATTTTCACATATAAAGTGTTTAGAGTCCTTTAAAAGCTAGCATTTTAGGGGGCCAAACTCTATCATAAGGTTTTCTTCCAATATTTAAAATTGTTTTTAATTTTTCAATAATTCAGTCACATGGTTCAGTAATCAAACAGTATAAAAATATACAGCACCCAAAACAATTGAAAGCAGGGTCTTGAAGGGATAGTTGTTCATAGCAGCCTTAGTCACAACAACTAAAACATGGAAGCAACCCAACTGTTCATTGATGGATGAATGGATGAGCAAAATGTGGTATATACATCAATGGAATATTATCTAGCCTTAAAAAGGAAGGAAATCCTGCAATGTGCTAAGACATGGTTAAACCTTTGGGACATTATGCTAAGTGAAATAAGCCAGTCGCAGAATGACAAATACTGTTTAATTCCACTTACGTGAGGTACATAGAGTAGTCAAGTTCATAGCAACAAAAGGTGGAATAGTGGTTGCCAGGGGCAGGGGAGGGGAGAATGGGGAGTTATTGTTCAGTGGAATAGAACTTCAGTTTTACAAGCTAAAGAGAGCTATGGGTGTGAATGGTGCTGATGGTTGCACAACCATGTGAATGCATTTAATACCATTGGACTGTATGCTTAAAAGTGGTTAAGATGGTAAATTTTATGTTATGTGTATTTTACCACAATAAAAAAATATTTAAACCGCAAAACAAAAAAAGATATGGCCAAGAGTCTCATTCTCATTTTTCTCCGTCTTCCCAATTCCCACTCCCTCTGCCTCAAGGTAACCAATCTTGTTAGTTTCTGTATTTCCTTCCACGTTTTCGTTTTGCAAATGCAAGTGAATATGAAGCTATATCTTTTTCTTCACCTCCTGGCTTTTTAAAAGGTATTAGCAAGAAGAGCTCATCAACACCCAGCTTGAATGAACTCACAAAGATGGAAATGTGGAATAGGACAGCTAATTGATGAGATGATAAGATCATTCTGCCAGGTCACTCCAATGGGGCTTCTGGGGACATCCAGGGTCCCCCTAGGACAGAGCCTGTTGTTCAGGTTTCTCCCCCAGGCAGGTTCTCAAGCTCCCCAGTTACCTTTTCTCTGGGACTCTCCTAGGCCACTCCCCCTGATGCAATATCTGGGTTGGGGCAGAAAGGAGGGTGCTACACAGCCCGCCCCTTCTGAGCTGCCTGGGCTGGCTCCTCTTTGCGGAACCATCGGGCTGCACAACAGCTCAGACCTCAGCTCTAAGATCTGCCTTCTGAAGCAAGCATGGCTGCGATGGACAGGATGACACTGTGAAAGGAAACGACGCTCCAGGCCAAGCTGAGTCGGCCAGACACGGACCCTTACGGTGATTCTAGAAGAAATCTCGACAAGTCTTATCATGTGGTTTTTCTACACCGTGATTCCATGTTTGCTCATACGTAAGTATGAATTAGAATACAGTCAATAGACTGGGAATTAAATATAGGTTAAGAAGGTAAAAATTACTTTCCTAGGGTTTGGGTTTGCATGGTATATGCATAGAACATCTTAAGTCTGTTTTTAAAGAGGTTGCTCACCTCCTAAACCTCTATCCCCACATCCTAAAGAAAAGAAAAAGCCTGCATTTTATTTGGAAATCTCTCTCTTAATGTCCAAAGAACAACCTAGAAAGATAAAGCATCAAAACAAGTAGTCTAAAGGTTAGCAGAGCTTCATGCATTTTGTTATCTCATCTGGTTTTAAAAGGTGCAATGTAGTTATCTCAGTCTCTGGGTGTGCATTGGAGATGTTAACTGTAGGGACAAGAAATAAAGTAAAGATTCTAACAAAATACACATGAATAAAAAGACATAATTTTCAACCTTAATATTGGGTGCAAGATGTATAAAAATTGGATATCTCTCCTGGTCACTGCAGAAAAGGTAGTAGTCAGGTAGGTACTCCATAGCATTAAAAAAAAAAGTTTTGGTTTAGGCACTTTCTCTGCCAGTAAGATTACATAATATTCTCTGCTCCACTTCTGGATACTTGTACCTACATGCTGTATCATTCCCAAAATCACAGCTCTGTGGTCTTTGATGTTTCATCATGTCGAGTCACATTTAAGAGAAATTTCTTATTTTAATGTTCCAAGTTACTAGGCACTTAGTAGTATCGGTGGGAACTTTGGGTACTTTCTGTCTTTTTTATTTTTTATTTTTTTAAACACCAAGTTAGTTTAAACGAGGTAACAAATCAGTGCTAAGGCGATTTGCAAGTGTTTAGAACTGGTTTAGATGTCAAGTTTATGGCGTCCCTTCCTAGTTCAAAAACCTCCAAAGCTCCCAATTGAGCACATGGTGTTCAAATCTGCTGTGTGTTTCACAATCCAGCATATTCAGGCCCTGATCCTATTTCGCTACTCCTTGTAAACAAATCTGGACCACAGGTGGCTGCTGTCTTCACAGTTGCCCTCATTTCCTTCTCCTGGCCTTTGTTGATATAACTTTCTACCAGAAGTACCGTCCCTATTTCCTTTCCCCACCTCAAGCCCACCCTCCCCTCATCATTGCAGGTGGCTCCCTCTTCCTACCAGCCCTTTCTCAGGCTTCTCTCTCCTGTGACCCTGACCTCATTTACTCTGCGTTGGTGGGATCTGTTTTCTGCATTGACCTGAGAGCAGGGCCCCGGGCGCCTTTCCTGGTGTCCCACAGTCTGTCTCATAGGCTAAGAGTGTTGGCTGAGTGGTTAGTTAGTAGATTGATTGATTAGCTGGTAGGACAAACCAGTTGCTCGGGAAACATTCCTCCGCAAGCCAAAAGGAGAAGATGAGGAGGCCAGATGAGAAGGGGGAAAGCCAGCATTTTTTAATTTGACATTTTCTTCAATAAGGCAATCCAGTCTTTTCAACCTTTTCCTGATAACTTCTGTTTCAAACAGACCTGGAGTTGAGTGTGTCCTTCTGTTGCCTGGAAATTTACACAGAACAAAAAAACTATGGAAGATTAAAGGGATTTTCAGGCTATGATTAATGTTATGGGACCTTAAGATTGGGAGATTATGCTGGATTAACCAGGGTGAGCCCAAGCTAATCACACGAGTCCTTAAAAGCTGAGAGACAGTGAGGGAGAGAGATGGGAGGACAGAAGAGGCAGAAGAAATCTGAAGTTTGAAATAGAACCAACCAGCCATTGTTGGCTCTGAAGATGGAGGAAAGGCCATAAGCAAGGAATGCCTGTGGCCACTAGAAACTGAGAACGACAAGGAAAGGGGACAGGTTATTTCCTAGAGCCTCCAGAAGGAACACAGTCTTATCAATACCTTGATTTTAGCCCAGTGAGACCAGTGTCAGATTTCTGACCTAAAGAACTGTACGATGGGGCCTGATGTATGGTGACGGAAGATGATTTGACTGTGGGTGGTGGGCACACAGTGCAATATACTGATCTTGTGGCATAGAAACCCACACCTGAAACCTATATGACCATATTAACCAATATCATCTCAATAAATTTAATTAAGAAAAAAAGAACTGTAAGATAATAAATCTGTGTTGTTTTAAGATGTTAAATTTGTAGTAATTTGTTACAACAGCAATAGAAAACTAAGAGGTCTCGAGAGAGAGAGAGCTCAGTGTTGTGAAAGCAGCTCTATGCAAAAGATGTTGCTTAGCTAGTTTTTCGTGGGCAAAACTAAGATTCCGAGCACCAAAATATTTCTTTTCTCTTCTTTTCTTTTTTAAATATATTTTTATTGATTTCAGAGAGAGGAAGCAAGAAGGAGCGAGAGAGAGAGGAACATCAATGATGAGAGAATCGTCATTGATCAGCTGCCTCCTGCACCCCCATGATGGGGGTCAAGCCCGAAACCTGGGCATGTGCCCTGACAGGGAATCTAACAGCGATCTCCTGGATCATAGGTCAGTGCTCAACTGCTGAGCCACGCCAGCCGGGCTGAGCACCAGAATCTTAATAGTCAGGTCACAGGCACCCAGTTCAAGTCTCTATTGGAAACACCATCAAAGAGCTTCCATCCGGTCATCCAGTGGGCCTTCTTGAGACACCTGCTAGAATGAGAATAACACAGTTCTCTATATTAACGAAGCATAAATTTTCACAAGGGACAGAAAGATTATCCGGGGGTTTAGTATTGCTCTCTAGCCCTGGTGAGAGCCCTCATCCAGTGTGACTGAGGAAATAATTATAGATTCTGTGCACTCCTCACTGTGGCCACTATGTCTTTCCTGTCCGCACTTCAATCTTTCTCTCCCCTTTCCCCTTGAATATGTTTTTTTTTGTTTTTGTTTTTGCATTTGGTATTTATATTCAGTAGTCCTTATTAACTGCTTTCTTTGGGAGATTTGACTTCAACAGATATTGCTGCTGGCTGATTGATAACATTTCATGTTAATGAGAATGCTGTGTTCTCAAGACCACAGTCAGCCTTCTCTAACAGTTGAAGGGGATTTTAAAACTTTCTGTAGGTGGGAAGAGTCACTTTCAGCTTGGAGTCTGAGCTGAAATATAGTTCCCATCTTGCAGAGTCATTTCCTATTTAGTGAAATTTATAATACTCTATACAAATAGCATAAGGATATTGAAAATGTTGCCTGTAGGGCTGAGAAAGAAACAGCAGTTCTCATTTTACCACAAGGGTGAGACTGTTTTGCCCATAACAGATTTAAATGTGAAACTTCATAGGTAGGAGAAGTGGGTTACACATGCAAATTATTGGGCTAATATACTGGAGCCACCTAAAAGTTGGGACATCCCTTGGTATTTTTCCCTGTGTGCACCTTCATGAAGAAAAATATACCCAATAATTCAACATCAAAGTGTGTTGATGAGTGCCCTACTCACCAGTCTCCCTTCCCAAACAGGTCTCCCTCGCTGATTTAATTGACTGGACCTACTTGTAGAACTTTACATTTTTCTTAGGTACATTTCATCCTGTTTGAGTTTATCCTATCTTTTAAAAGATAATAGGGCCCTAGCCCGTTTGGCTCTGTGGTTAGAGCATCGGCCCATGGACTGAAGGGTCTAGGGTTTGATTCCAGTCAAGGGCATGTACCTTGGTTGCAGGCTCAATCCCCAGCCCCAGTTGGGGTGCCTGCGAGAGGCAACCAATTGATATGTCTCTCTCATATTGATCTTTCTCTCTCTCCTTTCCACTCTCTCTGAAAAGCAATAGAAAAAATATCCTCGGGTAAGGTTTAAAAAATAATAATAATAATAATAAAAATTTAAAAATGGCCCTGGCTTGGTAGCTCAGTTAGAGTGTCGTCCTGCTCTGCCAAGGTTGTGGGTTGGATCCCTGGTCAGGGCACATACAAGAATCAACCATTGAGTGAATGGATGGATGGATGAAGCAACAAGTTGATGTTTCTCTCTTTCTCTCTCTTCCTCTCTCTCTTCTTTCTCTTTACCTTTCTCTAAAATCAAGGAATGGAAAAAGGAATATTTGAAAAAAAACTTATGTTGTTGCTGATGTGTATGAGGTAGTTAGGCTTATGATGGTTGCTTCTATATGAACATGTACAAACTTTTTGTTCTTGTTATTATTTCCTAAATAATACAGTATAACAATTATTTGTATAACATTTACATTGTAAATGTAATAGGTATTATAAGGAATCTAGACACAATTTAAAATTTACTGGATGATGTGTGTAGGTTATATGAATATAGTACACCGTTTTATATAAGGGACTTGAGCATCTGAGGAGTTTGTATCCACAGGTGTGTGTGTGTCTGGGAACCAATGCTCTGATGATATCAAGGGATGACTGTATTTTTATTTTTAGTGTACAAGTGTTCCTTGCTAGTATATAGAAATACAATTAATGTTTTGTGTTTACTTTGTATTCTGTGAACTTGCTGAATTCACTTATTAGTTTTAGGAGTTTTCTTTTATATTCTGTAGGATTTTCTGCATAGCCATATCATGTCACCTGCAAATTGGGGGAGTTTTATTACTTCCATCCCAGTCTGTATGCTTTCACTTGTTTTGTTTGCTTTATTACAGTTGCTAGAACTTACAGTACTATGGTGATAAAAAGTGGTGAAAGTGGAAATCCTTGCCTTAGTCCCAATTTTAAGGTGGAAAGTATTCAGTCTTTCACCATTAAATAAGATGGATGTTAGCTATAGATTTCTTGTAGATGGTCTTTATCAAGTTCAGATGACTCTATTATTCTTAACTTGAGACTTTTTTTTTTTTTAATCATGAATGAGTATTGTATTTTGTAAATGCTTTTCATGTATCAGTTGATATGATTGTATGATTTTCCTTCTTTAGCTTGCTGATATGGTGGATTACATTAATTGATTTTCAAATGTTGAACCAGCCTGCAAACTTGGAATAAACATCACTTTGTCATGGTGTATAATCCTTTTTATGTATTATTGGACTTAGATTGCTAATATTTTGTTGACAATTTTTGCATCTAAGTGCATGAGATATATTGGTCTATACTTTTTTTGTTCTGATTTTTAAAATATATACTACTATCTATGTCTGATTTTGATATCAGGGTAGTACAAATAAAATAAAATAAATTGGAAAATGTCCTTTCCTCTTTTATGTAATGGAAGAGATTGTGTAAAATCAGTGTTAATTTAAAAAATGTATTTGGTAGTATTCTCTAGTGAAACCATCTGGGCCTGGAGATTTTAGTTTCAGAGAATTATAGCTTTACATTCCTCACATAGCTGACTGGAAAAATGTTTGTTACTTTATCAGAGGAAGGATGTTGGAAAGGACGGTGCCCACCCTCCCGTGCCACCTCCCTGTGGCTGGCCCTTTCTTTCCATCCTTTGGGTGATTTCAAAGTTAGGGGTGGGGAGGACAGGAAGTCCCCCTTGTGGGTGCCCCAGGTGTTTCCTCACAGGGCAGGCCATGGGTGCTGCTGGTGCGATGGAGGTGAATCATCAGGGTCCTACATTAGAGAAGGAGCAGGGGAACCAGGTGGGGTGTCCCTGGCAGCCCCCATCCTCTTGCGGTCACAGGGCTTGATAACAACAGGTGCCAATCTGGAGGCAGACACCGAGATGAAAAGTCCTGGGAGAGGGCCCTACCCCTACTGTGCTCTTGATGTTATCACTGTGACTGTAACAGCAAAGGGGAGGCAGGTGTTAGGCATTAAAAGAAGAGCGTTTGACACTGAGAAGAGAAGAATTCTAGCAGAGAAGCCAGGCTGTACGCTGGGTTCCACACAGGATGAGCCCCGGGGTTGCCCGAAGTTCTCATGAGTGCATGTTTGGCGTCACAGGCCCGTTTCATTCTGTGTGCAAACTATGCAAACCTGGGCACACCACACACCTGTGCGAGCAGATGCTTGTGTGCCAGGCTGGCTCAGGGCTCTGCAGTCTGCCTGGGGCGGAGTCTCGGAGCTGGCTTGGTGCCTACCTGGGTTGGACTCGCTCCACAGCAGACCGGCCTGCACTTCCCAGCTGGGAGCTGATGCCTCATTCAGCTTTGTTGGGTGATGTGAGGGCATGTGCTTTGGATGGCAGTAGCCGGAGAGGGAGGTGCTGAGGAGCTGGTAGGGGCCTGCATGGGTTTGCCACGTAGGGATGGGAGGCTCAGGTTTATTCAACTTCTTAAAGTCCCATAGTAAGTGGCAGAGTCAAGGCCTGCATCTAGGTTGATCTGCCATAAGAACTGTAAACAATGTGCCTTAGTTTCGCAATTTATACAGTGGAGAAACTAATGGTCGTTACCTTCTGGTTGGTCATGAGGATTAAATAAGATGATCATGTAATAATCTAGCACATAGTCTAGATAGAACATAGTAAGTGCTCCGTAATATTAGTCTTTATGGTCATTAATGTTAATGTGCCATTTTATCACCAAAGGCAGAATTACAATGATAGAAAAAAATGAGCATTAACACAGGCATGAAACTAGAGGTGTTTCTGGCTTACAGACATATGAAATCTCATTAGAAACTAATTTAAAGCTGTGGCATTCCCCAAATATGCACCCACCCATCAGCCTGTCTATCTGCCTTGGTCCTAGATGGAGTTGCCCTTCTGCCTGCCCCTCAGAACCTCTCTGTACAATCAACTAACATGAAGCATCTCTTGATGTGGAGCCCAGTGATCATGGCTGGAGAAACAATACACTATTCTGTTGAGTACCAGGGGTGAGTTTTTTTGTTTTTGTTTTTTCTTAGTTTTTCTCCCGTAGACAGTAGTTGGTTGCTGGAGGCACAGCCCTTATTCTAGAGCCCAAGGAGGCCTTGTGAACCCAGGGATAAATTATGTCCAGTGACCTGCTGTCTCTGACTGCATGGGCATTGGGAGAGTTGAAGAAACAAGGGAAACTCCCGNATTATGTCCAGTGACCTGCTGTCTCTGACTGCATGGGCATTGGGAGAGTTGAAGAAACAAGGGAAACTGTCCCANCAGTGACCTGCTGTCTCTGACTGCATGGGCATTGGGAGAGTTGAAGAAACAAGGGAAACTCCCGTGGATTTGACAGTGAACTCTCTGGAAACCCAAATGTGTATAAGCACATTTTGGTGGAACTTATTTTCTGTGGTGAGTCAACTGTCTAATGCTGAAGAAAATCTGAAGAGATGAGTTTGACTTTGACTTCAGGTGGATAGCTCACTGGAGACTCAGATCCTTTGGGAGTGGGGGAGTTTTCCTGTTTATGGGCCAAAGTAAATTGTAACCCTAAAGGTCAGCTGGGCCTGGGGCCAAACAGGCTCTGCTCCTCTGCGGGTGTTCAGGCCCTTGGAGCAGTTGAGGAACAGCAGGGACACCTAGGTGCTCAATATATTTCATTAATAATAAATACAAATGGAGCATCTACATGTGTAGACATTCTTCTAAGCTCAGGGTACAGCTGACAAGGTTTTTGGGCATAGGGAGCCTAGAGTTAGAGGAGGAGGCAGCCAGTAGAAAGGTAAAGAAAATAAATACGTAGGTCTGCACTGTCCAGTGTGGTAGCCACTAGACACAGAGAGCTATTTAAATTAAATGAAAATGTCTGTTTCCCAGCCACACTAGCCACATTTCACATTCCCAGTAGCCACATGTGGTAGTGGCTACCACATTGAACAACACAAATATAGAACATTTCCATCATCACAGAAATCTACTGGGCAGCACTGCTCCAGGTAATTTCAGATAGTAATCAGTGCCAGGAGGCTATTGTAAAAGACAGTTGACTCTGTGGCTACTTTTTATTAGGTGGTAAGGGAAAGCCTGTCTGAGGAGTGATAGTTAAGCCCATATCTGAAGGACAAGAGGAGCCAGCCAATGTGAACAGCAGAGACAGAGCGTTTGAGACACAGTGAACAGCTAGTCAGAGGTCCTAAGGTAGAAAGAGCTCAGTGAGGAGGCCAGTGCGGAGGAAAGAGCATGTGTAGGGCCGGAGTGAGAGAGAGGCCATGGGAGGGTTTGGATTCCATCCTAAGCATTTTGGAGGCCATTAAGGATAGAAATGTCATGATTTGCAGAGTGATGAATGGTTTGAAGAATAGTAGGAGTTGAAGTTGGAAAATTGGTTAGGAGACCATATCACAGGCAAGGGATGATAGTGGCTGAGACTGGGGTGATAGCCTGTGGAGATGGAGAGACCTGGACACATTGGGGTTTATATGTAGGTGCCCACTGTTTGGTCATGAAAGGAGTAAGGAAGAATGGATGGCTGGTCAGGGGGGAAGGTGGATGAATTGGAGTGTGGAGCAAATGCTTATTTTGCTGACCCATAAAAAACAGGTGAATGAGGCAGTTACTTGCAATCATCATTGAGCCTGGATAAAAGGGACTGATGTGAAGCTGTGCCTTCCTTTCCTTGGCCAGAGAGTATGAGAGCCTGTACATGGGCGACTTGTGGATCCCCAGCAGCAGGTGCTCACCTACCCAAGTTCCCGAGTGTGACGTTACTGATGACATCACTGCCACCGTGCCGTACAACCTCCGTGTCAGAGCCACCCTAGGCTCACAGACCTCAGCCTGGAGCATCCTGAAACACCCCTTTAATCGAAACTCAAGTAAGATACTTCTCTCTTTACTCCCCCACTGCCACCAGCCTTCCCCTTAGGAACCATGTTCTCTGAGTTTTTCAGGATTCTTTCTAGCATCAAATTAGTCTTGCAAAGCCAGAGTACTGTGAACACAAACATCCCTAACTGGTTCATTTAAAAAATTGCCAACTGCTTCCCACATGCCCTCTTTCTCATTTTGAAAGAGGCTTTGGGAGTCATTCTCTATCTCTCAGGGTCTGCTGGTGGTGGGAATACAGACGTTGCAAAGCTGGAAGGAGAGCTGCTTTGAAAGTGGGGAGATGGGGCTAGGACTTCTTTCCATGCTGACAGTGCCTCAATAAATCTTCTAGTGACTCCCATCTGGTGCCTCATTAACCCCATGTCTGTTGCCTGTGTGAGCAGTTTTTCTTTTGCAATAGGATCCATACATTTAACAAAGCCACCAGAAACAGTTGCCCTTTCTGTGGTCACTGGGACATAAATAACTTTTCTGTAGCAATAGTGCCTGGGAAATGATTGAGAAAGAAGTAAGGGAAGAATGCAGATAGGTGGTCAGTTATGGCAGAGCACAAACACTGGCCAATGTGTAAAAGGGTGTGTGCTTGGAAGTAGCAGGAGCAAGGACTGAATGGCCAGGGGTGAGGAAGCAGCTGGTCACATGGTGAAGTCCTTTGACATGAAGTTGATCAAATCAGTAGAGGGAAGCCATGGAAAAAAAGAATGTCTAGGCCAGGTTTGTCCTACAGAACAGTCACTGGCTGCTGTGTGAAAGGGAACTGGAGTAGGATAGGCCTGCAGGGCAAGGAAAGAGTGAGGAGGGGCTGTAACACTCCAGCTGAGCCAAGATGGGCCCTGATCCCAGGAGTGGAGGAAGGAATGGGGAGGAGAGGACAAATCTGAGACATGGCTGAGTTAGGAAAAGGCTCGGGGGCCAATCATTGGAGAGACAGTGATGGTGTCCAGCTTCCAACTGGGGTTGGAGAGAGTGTCATCCAAGGCAGAGAACCCAGGAGGGACAACTAGCCTTGAGAAATTGGAGACGCTTCTGGCTTTGGGCTCTTTAAGACAGAGATTCCTATGAGATATCATACCAAGATATCTGATTGGCAGCTGGAAACCAGGCCCCGGGGCTCCGACAGGTGACAGCCAGATACACAACACAGCATTAATAGCTGAAGGCTTGGGGGCAGATGCAGGTGTCCTGGGATAAGATATGAGGACAAAGATAACTCAGGACAAGACCCTGGGAAACCTCAGGATTCAAAAAGTAGACAGAGGGCCCTGGCTGGTATGACTCAGTGGCCAGAGCATTGGCCTGCGGACTGAAGGGTCCCCGGTTCAATTTTGGCCAGGGGTGTGTACCTAGGTTGTGGGCTCGATTCCCTGCCCTGGTTGGGAGACAACCAATAGGTGTGTCTTTCTCACATCGGTGTTTCTCTCTCTCTCTCTCTCTCTCTCTCTCTCTCTCTCCCTCTCTTTCTGTCTCTCTCTCTCTCTCTCCCTCTTCCACTCTCTCTGAAGAGAAATGGAAGAAATATCCTCAGGTGAGGATTAAAAAAAAATTAAAAAGTAGGTAGAGGTAATGGTACCAGTAGGTAGCTGGGCCGGTAGAGGACCATTGATGGAAAAATAGAAGAACTGCTGATAGCCTGAAGGGGGCCCTAAATGGGTCTTGAGAAGGCGGCTTCATGGAACCGTGGGGATGGTGGTTAGGCTGCTGGGTGGAGAACTGAGTGGAGGTGGGAAAGAGCAAGGCAGAGCCTCCTCTGAGACAGGCGTGGGCGACCGTGTGACCTGTTTGAAGCTGCAGGAGAGGCAAGGACCTCTGGTTTCTTGATGTGGCAGAAGATCCTCTGCTGTGAGGACTAAGGAAGGTTAGGAGCAGCACGCACAGTGGTGGGATGAGTCAGAGGTTACTGGGGAGTGTACGAGATTGGGTAGGAATCAGGAGGGTTTAGAAGGTGGTGGTGGTGGAGGGGAGCCCAAGCCGGAAGGGGCTGAGGAAGGTGAAGATTGATTTGAAGGGGAAGTGCCCCTCCAGAGCCAGATGAATGTGGTTCAAATCCCAGCTCAGCCACTGATAGCTGGGTCCCTCTCTGCCTCCTCGGCTGTAAGGGCAACACTTTGCCTCAAAGCATAGTTGTGGGAACTATGCAAGATGAAATGCGTAAACACTCAAAGCAGTGCTGTCCTGTTATAGCACTCAGCTATTGTTGAGTATTATTATTCTTGCCCTGGGCATGCCCAAGCCAAGAGCTAGAGAGTCTAGAGGAAGGAAGAGGTAGGGGCAGGAATGGAACCATTGAATATGAGATGAATAGGAATTTTGATGTGGAATGTGAGCTGTTCTGCTCAGGCACTAGGAGGATATAGTGGAAGCGGTGGGATTCCCGCACCAGGCACTGAGGGAGGCTGAGGAGCACTGGAGGGTGGTGCAGCTCTGCCTCTGCCCGCAGTGCCCAGATATCAGCCAGCACCACCTCCCTCCGGCTCCTGGGAGCACAGGGCTGCAGCCAAGACCATTGCTGGGGACTGGCAGCTGTTGTTGGAAAGGAAGGCATGGCTCAGAGGGAGATAAGGAAGTGCCTGTAAAACTCCTTGAGCAGGGGTTTGTGCAGTAACAGCTTGTGCTTGAGAAGGCCACTGTAAACAGGAAAAAGTTTTCCTGTGGGAGGAGCTGAGGAATAGTCTCTGTACCTGCATTGGAAGGTGGAAGCTGCGGTCCTGTTTAACCCCTGGGTAGGTGGAATTAGCTACAGAGCTGGAATGAAATCATGATGTTTAAGGGCATTAAGTCTGTTCCTTGGCTTCTGAAAAAGGCCACTGTGACTTCTTCCCCAAACATATAAAAAGTCTTGTTTTTAAGCCTCCCCTGAGAAAGATCTCTTGTTCTTATAGGGAAGCCTTTTTGAGAGCAGAGGTACTTAACCTCAATTGCACATCAAGTCACAGGGGAGCTTTAGAACCACTTATGTCTGGGGCCATCACCAGAGTCTGGTTTAGATAATCTATGTGCATCCCGTTCACTGGGAGTTTAACATTTCCCCAGGTTATTCTCATGCACAGCCAGAGTTGAGATTCATTAGTACAGCAGCTATACACCCACACAGCAGAGTCTAGAAACCTGGAAAAGACACAGGCTCAAATTCTGGCCACTAACTGTGTGACTTTGGGCAAGTCACTTAACCTCTCTGAGGCTTAGTTACATCTGTACAACGGGAGTAGTATTTACTTTCTTAAGCTTGCTGGATGGATTAAATGAGTATGTAGAGTGCATAGGACAGAGGTTTCTGTTCCAACACTGTCAAAATATCCTCTGAACTGAAATGACTTTAGGTCATTTTTTTCTAACTTTATTCTCAAAAAAGATGAGAATTAGAGGATTCAATTCTAATCATGCTTGACCTAAAACTGGAGGAGTGAAACATCTCTCTTCCTTCTGGAGGTGTTTCAGCAGTAGTACTAGCAGTGCTGTATGCTCTTCTGAAGCCTCTGAACTGGGTATGTTTTGCACAGTTGGTCCTTGACTTCCCAAGTCCTTCTGTCCCCTACCCCAGCAGCTCTTCAAATGCCAGGAAATGCTTTGCTCTCTGAAAACTCCCTGCAGGAAATTACTTTCTTTTGCATGTCCACTGGGATTTAGCCCAGACCACACTCCACTCTACTTCCCAAGCCAAGGCCCACAATCAGGGTGCCCTTCTGGTCCTGCAGTGTTTGGATCTGAGAGGCAAGTATGGATCCATCATCACTAGCCAGGGACTAGACTGCCTGTGTGGGCCCTTCTGTTCGCAGTCTGCACATGGGAAAGTATCCATGGGGACTGCTGGCCAATCTGTTTGGGATCCAGAAATTTCTAGAGTTGGTTATTGGAATTTGTAAAACCCTCTGGTTTTCCAACATCCCCCATTAAGGATATGAGATGAAGAATCCTTGGGCTGAGAATAGAATGGCCAACCCATTCACAGGCTGCTGATTTGCTGATGTTTGAAAGTCAGCAGCAGCCAGCAGATATCACTGATCCATGTGAAATGTAATATTTGCCTTTTTTTTTTTTTAACTTGTTCATCATTCAAAAAGCATTTACTGAGCACCTGCTGAGTACAGAAGAGTATTGGTGGGCATGATTCTGTGCGTTGTGAAGCTACATCCAACCTCCTCCCTTCCCAGGAGCCTGGCATATTTCCACCAATGACTTGGTCATGGTTTCCCAGAACAGAAATTAGTCGTGTCTGGGGCTGGCTTTGATTCTCCTCTTGCCTTGCCAACAGCCATCCTAACCCCGCCTGGAATGGAGGTCACCAAGGATGGCTTCCACCTGGTTATTAAACTGGAAGACCTGGGGCCCCAGTTTGAGTTCCTCGTGGCTTACTGGAGGAGGGAGCCTGGTGCTAAGGTAAGACTTCTGGCCATAGCCTTTGAGTCAGGCTTTGGGGAAAGAGTCACAGGCCTCTGAGAGGTGGTTGAGAAAAGCCTGCCCCTCCAGTGCTCACTGTCTGGGGTGGCCTGAGGATGACCAGGCCTGAGTGAAGTGTGGGAAAGGAGAGATGGGAGTAGGCTGACAATCCCAGTAGGCTACTCTTCAAAGAACTGCCCTGGTTTCAACCCAGGCCTTGGCTGGGAGCCTTCTCAGGCAAGATTTACTGAAATATGGGGGCTGCCTCCTTGCTGTAAACTCTAACAAGTTGGACCCCCAATATCTTTTCAATACATTTCTTTTCCCTCATCAGCTTGTCTTCTCAGGCATCCTCTCTGGCATGTCCAGGAGACCAGGGAAATCCAGATCAAACAGGTGATTTCAAAAGCATATGAGGCTGGCCCAAGCCTCTTGAGGGTGTGTGTCTGGGCAAGGTGCAGAAGTCAGGGCAGAGAGCCAGGAACTGGCTTTTGGATAACCCTGCCTAATTATGAGCCAGTGGGTCACGAAGAATGCCTAGATGGGGTGCTGCCCCTCTCTGTGGGATGACTGCTGCAAGCTGGGATGGGTGGGAGGCCAGCTCTCCCAGAGCAGCAGGAGGGGTGGAGCTTGAGCAGGAACCAGAGGATAGTCAGACCTGTGGAAGTTCTGTCCAAGCTGATGAGGTGACAAAACCCACTCCAGTCAGCACAAATAAAAGTGGACTTTATCATAAGGATTAATATGGTACAATAAGGGGCTCTCACAGAATTTTTGAACAGAGCTGGCCCAGAGCAGAGCTGCAGCACAGCCTCCCTTACCCAAGGACCCTGGCCTGTGGAGTCCTTGCTTCCTCTGGTGGGTCCTCTCTATTGCACTTTCTGTGGCCTTCTCCCCAGCTTACTCTGGTCCCCGATTCCTCATCATCCCTTCCTACGCATTCCTGTGGCCATGCCTCACCACCCCTCAAGGCCTCTCAGGCCTGACTCCCCTTCACTGTTCCTAGCTCCAAGTATTCCCAAGACCAAGTCCCAAGAAAGGAAATCTGATTGGTCCTGCCTATCATATCAGGCCAAGCTTAGCAGTCGCAGGTTGCTGGCTGGCCTCTGATGGACCCTTCTTAGAGTAGGGGTACCTCTGACCTCATAGCAGTGTCTGGGGAAGCAGGGCATATGCCCCAGCATCCACTGAACAGGGGCCACAGGTTAGGTAGCTTCACCTGGAAGGTGGTATGGATAGGTGGAATGGGCATTATCAGTGGTTTCCCTAGTTACTCCTGCTGGCTCAGGCCCAGTGGTAGGATCTGGCATTTTCAGCCAGGCAGATGGAGTGGTGTGGGGGACAGATCAAGGCCTGGGCAGGAGGGGGCATGCAACTACCTCAGATTCTTTGGAATGGAGCCCTCTCTCCACCCTTGGTAACTGGGAGGGCCAGTGCTGAGAGAGGAGCCTTTGCCTTGAGTCACCTGGGCTTGCTCCAAACAAGCCACCACAGGTTCAGACATGGAGTACAGGCCTCAAGGGGTGGGTAGAGGTGGAGGGATGTACAGAGGGATAAACAGATGGGTGGATGGATGGATGTGTGAGGAGGCACTGCCCATTGGTTCCCTTGCTCCTGTGTATTTATCCCCCCGGCTCAGTGATATTTCTGACTTTCAGATCTCTGCCCATATGTTATTCCATCAGAGAGATCTTCCCCAGCCATCTTCCTCCTCCTCACTGTACCTTCTTGTACTGCTCCATTTTTCTCAGCACCACCTGATAAATGTTGCATATTGTCTGTCTTCTCCCACATAAGCTCCATGGGGACTTTGTTTTGTTCAGTGCATGTTCCAGTGCTTACAACAGTGCTTGGCACATAGTAGGCGCATAATAAACGAATATGAATGAATGAATGATGCACTGGAGGCACATTCTGTATGCAGCCTGGAAAGGAAATATCTGCAGCTTTCCGTGCCTGGTTCTTGTCTCCCTTTCTTGTCTTGCTTCCCTCAGTGTGTAACTGTTTTCTGGTCTCCTAAAGGAACACATCAAAGTGGTGAGGAGCAGGGGCATTCCGGTGCACCTGGAAACCATGGAGCCAGGGGCGGTGTACTGTGTGAAGGCCCAGACATTCGTGAAGGTCATCGACAGGCACAGCGCCTTCAGCCAGGCCGAATGTGTCAAGGTGCAAGGTAAGGATGGTTTGTCCGTTCCCTGGAGTCCTGCACAGGTGACAGTCCCTCCTGGAGGATGCTAGGCTGCCTGCTGGGTTTCTTTGGTTCTCCCCTGGCCTCACTGACCTGCTTCCTGAGATTGGATGGGTTCCTGTGGTGAACGTATGCTTTACTCCAATTCTCCTGTAGGCGAGAGTCCACCCTGGGGCTGGGTCTGGAATTTTCTTTCCCCTGAAAGGTCCCTAGGCCTGAGGCCAGATATTGCAAGGCTGGTTTATCAGGTGAATCAGGGGAAAGGGTTGCAGGAGGGGCAGCCCGGGGCTGAGAGTCAGACCTTACCAGGAGGCAGGCCATTGCATATCACGGCTGCTTTCTGCTAGGAGGGACTGTGGGAAGTCTATAGACTCCTGGTTCGACTAAATTTTACTCTTGAAATTTTTTATGGTCTAAAACCCCACAATGTTTAAAAACCCTTTGGAAAGAAACAAAACAAAACCCTACATCCCATGATTCTGTCACTCAGACAACACTAGTGACATTTTTGTATAGAACTTTTTAGTCTTTAAAGACTTATTATTTTGAATATTTAGTGCATTCATAAGTTTCAAAACCTATAAAATACACATGGAAGCTCTCCTTTCTACGTTTCCTTTAAGCACAAACAGTAGCATACTCTATTCACTATACTGGATCTTGTCTTTTTCACTTTATGTATCTTCTAGATTTTTCCTCACCTTTCTTTATGGCTATGCAGTATTCCATTTTGTGTATATTTAGCTAATTTAACTAGCTCCCTGTTGATGGGCACTTAGTTTCCCCCCAGTATTTTGCTATTGCAGGCAATGCTTTAATTAGGTACCCTGTACATAGATAATTTTGCTGGTATAGTTGAAGGATAAATTCCTGGAGGTGGAGTTGCCTGGTCAGAGGCACACCCGGTTGAATTTTGACTGCTGTTCCCAAATTGCCCTCCGGGGCGCCACTCTTCCGTCACTGCCCGCGTGTGCACACGTGCTGCAGCTGGACTGCGTGTGTGCGGTGCCTGCTGTTTCACAAATACCCATCACACCATGTTTTCTCTGATTGCCATTTTACACTACTTTTAAAAACCATATAAGACAAGCTTGTTTAAAAAAAAATCAAATAACACAGAAGTATATAAGGCAAGAGGTACATGTTTTCCGCTGAGGCGGCTTATTTTGGGAAGTTTAGTGTTTAATCTGGGTGTTATTGTGTGATACCAATACTCACAGGCACAAATGGGACTACTGTGCTTACTGTTCTGTTTCTTGCTTATTTTTGCTTAGTAGCATATTGTGAACATCTTTTCATGTCAGTACACATGGTTCTACCTCATTTGAAAAGAAGATGCACAATAAACCAATATATGTATGTGCCAAGATCTATGTAATCATCCCTCTGTTCATAGGTGTATTCTGTGATTTCTAGTCTTTGCTACTATGAATGATGCTATAGTGAACAAGCTTGTATAGACCCTAATTCTCATTTTACTAGTCGCATTCCTAACCCACCATGCTGATGTCCCATAATAAATTAAATCATCTCCTGTTTTGGGGTATTTAGGTCACTTCCATTCCTTAAGTCATTTCCATTTGCTTTTGAAGATGATGGTCATTGACTGATCTATTCATTCATTCAATGAATATTTATTGAGCATTGATGATGTGTCACGTGCTGGTCTAGTCTCTGGTCTCATGGAACTTACCTTCTAGTTGGAGAGACAGCCTATAGACAGTAAACAAATGAGGTAGCTTCCCTTGGTGGTATGCGCTATAAAGCAAATGCCCAGAGCATGCCTGGAGGCGCTGGGAGGTGTAGGTGTCCACTTTGGGCAGAGGGGGAGACTAGTAATAAGGCGATGCTCTAGTCCAGACATTGCTGTGAACTGCTTTACGCATATCATTGTTTGCTTTCTTAGAATTATATTTTTGGAATCCACTCACAGGAGTGGGTGAAAGGGTGTGAACATTTGTTTATCTCTTGATGTGTACTGCCAAAATATTTCCCAAAAGCATTAAAACAAAGTACAGTGCCCCTAGCCACATACGTGAGGCCACCAGCTTCTCTGCAGCCTTCTCGGCTGCGCCACCGTTCACACTGTGGGTGAGCAGTCCAGCCTAGGGGGCTAAATGAATTGCTCGAGGTCACATGATGGGAAAGCCACCCACCTCCCCTTCCCCATCTCCAGATGCTCCCACTTGGTACTTCCTGATCCATTTACTTAGTAGAATGACCACAGGCTTTGGAGTCAGCCCTAGTTGTGTGACCTGGAGTAAGTCACTTAACCATAGTAGGGGCTTGATGTATCATAGTTGTTATGTGACTGTTTTCTGAACTCACTGTTTGCCTCCATAAGGTCAATGCCAAGAGCAAATTGTGAAACACACTTTGTTTCAGTTACCAGCCAGTTTCCTTCTGTGCTGTTGTTTTTTTGGCACCTACCCCCCGTCCTGCCCGGGGCCTGGCGCTCTGCCGTCCTCCTGGCAGTGGCGCTGAGGTGTGTGCTAACACAGCCAGTGGCTTCACAGCTGACGCTCCTCCCTTTTCCCAAGAAAAACATTTTATTCTTCTTTGGGGTTTTCTGGAAACCAAGCCTTAATCTGGAGTCTAGGAAAAAAATGATTTTAATGGTGGTAATTGTAGTCACTAGGGCATTCATCAAGTCTCAGGATGTTGGCATCTGCCGTCTTGGCCATGTGCAGAGCCAGCTCCAGGAATGTGAGGGAGACCCAGGGTTGGAGATTTCCTCTTCACTGTGTCTCCTAAGCCTGTGCTTACCTTTTCATTTCCAGAAGAGACCCTCCCCCTGGCTCTGGCCCTGTTCGCATTTGTTGGCTTCATGCTGATCCTCGTGGTGGTGCCGCTCTCCATCTGGAAGATGGGCCGGCTGCTCCGGTACTCCTGTTGCCCCGTGGTGGGGCTCCCGGACACCTTGGTAAGTGTCCTGTTTTCCTTTCAGCATGATACTGACCAGGTGCAGTTTGGGCTTTAGTGGGCATGGGCACACGTTTCCTGGTTGGCAAGCATTTATGCAAGGAGGGCAGAAGAGCATGTACAGGACTTCACTTGTAATCACGGAGGCTGGGAGAGACCTCCCTTCTCCAAGGAGTGGGACCTTCCTCAGTCAGGCCACTGCTGCTTGCCCCCAGGACCTGGCATGGCCAAGAGAGCTGGTGTGTTGCAAAGCCAGGGATGCTTGGCAGTTCAGGAATCATGTACAGTCTTTCCCTTCCAGACTGACCTTCCGAGTGTTCTTGGCCCCTTCCCATGATTATAACAGCAGCTGCATCCAGTAACTTGTTCTGACACAACATACTCAGTTCATCTGCCAAGAGTCTCATTGGTTCTCAGGGTGAAGTGCATGGGTGTGAATGTGGGAGGCATAGATTGTGTTTTGCTTTGGCTGGGGGCCAGGAACAATCTGGACCTGCCCAGTGACTACCAGAGGTTAGGGTTCCCATCTGTTTTCTCAGCTCCTTGCAAGCCCAGGATTCTTATCTTACTCCTGAGGACACTGGCCTACAGGTCTGAAGCTCTCCAGTGGGGGCAGGTCCTATGTACCCATTCCAGGATTGGGGAGAAACAAAAGCAGGCCAGTAGCAGCTCCCCCCATGTCCCATCTGGTCGCCTCCTTTGCCTCTCCCCCCAAACCTCAACATGCAAAGCAGCATAAAAACAAACAAGACAACAAATAAAAACGAACCCATTCCTATCACCTCAGAGATTTCTCACAGCTCTCTCCTGGGAGGAGGGTTAGTAGTCAGCTCCTCAGAAGCAACTGGAGCTGGAGCTGCCTGCAAGCTCACATTCCTGTAGTTCTGCTTCAGCCTCGGATCACTCTGGCGGGAGTCACTCTTGTGACAGCTGCATGGCCCTGGGAGCAGGGCCGTGCTCTCCCTCCACAGGAGGGCTGCTTCTCCCTGATCCAGCCTTCAGGGCACTCCTCCACCCTGTTACCTTAAGCCTGTTCTCTTTTTCTCTCTGGTACTTCCAGGGACTCATAACTTTAGCTGAGACCAGCACAGGGTTAAGCACCAGGCACAGTTCTAAGGCTTTACATATACAGTATGGACTCCTTTCATTTTCCCCTGTTCATAATGGCGAGCAGGTCCCCCTCCAGCCCACTCTGAATGGTTTACTGCTAAACATGAAGGCAATGTGGTGTATCAAACATGGGAGACAGGGCAGGCCTCATTCCCTTCAGCAAGTACTTGAGGGGCTCAAAGTTCCCTGGAGTGTAAAAATATGTGTATTCTGCAGTGGTTGAGATAGTGTGTTATAAATATCAATTGGGTCAAAATGTTGGATAATGCTGTTCATGTTTTTTGTATAGTTCTATCACTTATTGAGAGAGAGGCAACAAAATCTCTAACTATGAATGTAGGTGTGTCTCTTTTCCCTTTTATGTCAATTTTTTTTTCATGTATTTATCATTATGAAATGTCCCTCTTTATCTCTGGCAATAGTCCTTACCTTGATATTAATATAGGCCTCTTTTGTTAACTGTTTGTGTGGTTTATCTCCTTTCCACATTCTTACTTTAAACTTATCTGTGTCCTCATATTTAAAGTGTATCTCTTATAGTAGCGTATAGATAGCCTTAAAAAAAAATCCATTCCAACAATCTCTGTCATTTAATTGGAATGTTTAGCCCATTAACACTTAATTCTGGTCCTTTCATTTTCTAACTTTTGTGTTTGCACCCAATAACTGTTTTCTGGTTCTTCAAGCCAGTAAGACCATCATTGTTCATGGAACCAAGAGAGACCTGTCCTCAGACAAGGAACTGTAAAAAATGGGAAACTCACCCAGTGACATTCCATTTTTCCAAGTGTCAACTTTTGGTTGCTCTCCAGTGACTTAAGGAAGTTAGTTTTATATTTTGATCAGTTTTTGAAGGTGTTATCTGTAGGAGATTGGTTTGATTGGTGCTCCTCTGGCAGAAGTAGGAGCAGGACCCTGCAATGAAAGAGGTGTGCCTGACCCAATCCAAAATGATGATAATGGAAGGGGAGCATTCATAGCTCAGGCAGGTCCACTAGCTCTTCTTTCCCAGACCTGGTGAAAAGTTCAGCCTCTCTAAGCTAGATTCCATCAAATAGTCATCCTTTATGGCTTTCCTTTCAACTCTGTTGCCCACGCTTACCCTCTACTCACAGGCCATTCCATTTCTAACACCCTCTGTCATTATCCCTCTTCTGGTCCTACATTCATCAGCCCAGCCAAGTTTCCTCCCCACCTCAGAATCAGGGGATCCTGAGGATCCTCCCAGGACCCAGTGTCTTGTTAGTGAGCAACAGAGTAAAGGACCAGGGAAAGAACCATGTAGAGGGCCCGTTCCTTATAGGATTTGAGATGCACACAAACAGCCTTCAAATGATAAGAACTTCTAAGAATCCTAATGCATTATGAGCCACACCCTACAAATAGCCTTTGGAGAAAACCAAACAACTTAGATGTGACCAGAAACAAGGAGAGTCTATGAAAGCATGACCACTTTCACCCATGGAAGAGAGATATCACTACCCTTGGCTAACCTTCGCTTCCCTTCTCCTTATCATCCTTCCCATGTTGTTTCAGTGTCTGTTCCTACATGCACCCCTCTCCATGAGGCTTTTAATTTTTATTCTGTTTCTGTCTAGGTTTTTTAAGTGGAAAATTTCTCTGAGTATATGCATTGCCCATAATGCTGTGAGAGAAGTAAATCACTAGTGTCCATTAAATCCCAAACAGATTCTGAAGCTGTCCATCACCACCGCCATCTCCCCGTCTTTCAGCCTTGACATTAGTATAGTCTAGCTGCACTTCAACTTTTGCATTAGTTATAGATAATCTTCCAAACTATTAAAAGGGAACTTCCAGCCATCTTTGCAAAATCCACACATTTTTCCAATGAAACTGCAGAAAATTACCAAGTGGAAATCCTTGACAATTCTTTAAAAAGGCCTACTGAGTTTGTGAGTCTTTAATTTATGTTTGGATTAAATATTTCATGTCTACATCTATAATTTCATAGTTGGTGATGGTTGCACTCTGAGATATACCATTAAGAATGTCTTTGCATTCACGTTGATATCACCAAGTAAACATTCTAAAGTAGAAATACACATGCAAGGAAAATTATATTACGACTTCTAAGTATATATTCCCTATTTAAAAATATAATTTCTTTTCCTTGTCTTTCATCCATAATTGCTTCATGGGTATGGAGACTTTGGTGCTAAAGGGTCTTCGTTTGCTTTCCACAGCTCACTTTATTCTATCTCTTCTTGATGTCACATCCCACTGTAATGTACGTGGCCAGCATAAAGATGGCCCCAAGTTCATCATTCTTCAATGCACCATCCCAAGTATGACTTTGTGTGCTTCATAGAAATGGAGTTTCTGAGATCGATGCCCCCAGGGCTCAGATAGGTATAAAAAAAAGTGTGCAGTGAAAGGAATGTAATTCAATACGGCTAGATGGTAGGGACCATGGCAAACACATTCCAGCTAAAGAAGACAGCTGGTTCTCGGTTCCAGTAGCTTGCTGTCAAGAGGGAATGTATGTGAGCCAGTGCTACAAGATTTTCAAGTTTTAAGTGAGAAACAAACCAAAATAAAATAAATAAAAAATCCAGACTTTTATGAGAAATCTCCTGATTTTTAAATGTTGAAAACTAATTCAAACTAAAAAATATATATATGTCAGCTGAACCTTGCTTGAAAGTTTGTTCTAACTTGTGGGACAATGGTTTTGCAGCTTTTGAAATTCTGAGGTTATGCTGTTTTACCTTAATGCTCTAGAACTATACTCTCCAATACAGTAGCCACTTGCCAAATGTGACCGTTGAGCACTGGAAATGTGGCTAGTCTCAACGGAGATGTGCTGTAAATATAAAATACACAATGGGTTTTGAAGACTCAGTTCAAAAAAAGAATATAAACTATTTTATTAGTATTTTTGTATTAGTTACATGTTGAAATATTTATTTTAAATAAAATATATTATTACATTTAATTTTACCTGTTTCTTTTTACTTTTAAAAAATGTGCTACTAGAGAATTTTAAATTGCATTTGTAGGTCACATTATATTTCTATTGTACAGTGCTGCTCCAGAATTTAAAAAGTAATTAGGTATAACCACTGCAGATTTAGTTAGCCAGGGTCCTGAGAATCGAAGTGGGCCAGCAGCAGTGAACCGGTTGTGGGTTCCACAAAGACACCTGTACTCAGTGAGCCCTGGGTGTACACTGTCCTTTCCCATGATTTGCCCGAGGACACTAAGAGTGAGATCCCCTGAAGCTGCCTCTTTACAAACAAGGATCAAGGGCAACTGACTCATATATGAAGCTGATGTCTCCTGGGGACTGAGTTGGAGGAAACAATTGTGCCTATTTATCTGTGCCCCTGTGCCCCTCTTTGGAGCCATGAAGGGGAGGCCACGGGAGATAACTGCAGAGAGCCTAGTGAATTTGGTGGAGGTGAGCAGGCTATCCATGATTGAGGAATGTCCTTCTGAAAAGTTGGTACCTGCATTTTTACGACCAGTTCTGATTATGTACTGGTGTCACTGGGAGAAGATGGCAGGAACACGAAATATGAGTAGGGAAGGGACTTGTGTTTCAAGAGTGCCATCTCTGGACTGGGTGGCCTGCTAGGTGCTGTATGTAGAGCACCTCAGACCAGGTTGTTATTTTCAGAGATCTCTGGAAGAATAATGTTATATTTTTTGGACCAGAATTACATTCTCAGCTTTTGTGAGGTAGGGTCCCAGAGAGAGGAGCACTGGAGGAGCAGGGGCCCAAGAGATCTGCTGGCCAGTGAACTGGGAGACATCTCAGTAAATGCTGGAAGCCCCTGATCTAGGAGTTAGAATGGTTTTGGGACTTTTATGCTGCTTGAAAGTTAATCAGATAATTGGGATTTTTGTGAGAGTCTTCACAATAACTACTACTTTAGTACTACTCTTCATCTAATAAATATTAATGGAAATTATTTTTTCAGAAAATCACCAATTCACCCCAGAAGTTAGTCAGCTGCAGAAAGGAGGAGGTAGATGCCTGTGCCACGACCATGCTGCCTTCTGAGGAACTCTTCAGGACCTGGATCTAGTAGGCTTGGAGAAAGGCCCGGATGAAGCTGAGAAACCTGGTCTGCATGACACAGGAGCCGTGAGGAGGAAAGGCTGTGTTTCTGTTTTCCTCCAAGGACAGGAGAAGTCAGAAAAGCCTTCTGTGTTCATTTCTAGAAGCAACTGTCAGAGGCAGAGGTTTGGCAGACAAAGCACTGAGTGGGGGCAGGAGATGTGCCTATAGAACTGGATCTCTATCTTTTAGCCATCCACTAGCTGAATGATCCTAGGGAAATTGACCTCGTCCCTCTGGCCCTCAGTTTTCTCATCTGTGAAATGGGTGGATCAACTATACAACTGTTACACCATATATGTATATATATTTCTCCAGCACTGGGAGAGCTGTAGGGAAATTGGTGACACTGAACATTGTGATTGGGTCAGCTTTTCTGAAGAGCAGTATTAAAAGTACAATAGAAATGATCAGAGACTCTATACACCAGCTGGCTTGGAGATCCCACTTTCCTAGAGGAAACCTTGAGAAGGAAAGGAAGATGGGTACAATGGTGTTGATTTCACTTTAAGTCAAATGCCTCTGCGGAGGTGAATGGCTCAGCCTGCTCTACAATGACCAGGATGGAGGCCACAGCCCCACTGAAACTGGGATGTGCACGAATGCTGTGGGTACATGAAATGCTATAAATGGTAAATAGTGTGTGCACATTGAGGACAGCAGCCAACATGTATGTGTATGATGAGATGACAATGCAGGGTGTCAGTAAGTATGACATTTGCTGTGTTCTGTTTTCCTGTAGAGTTGTTAAAATATAGAATTAAAAAAATAAAGGGGTCACTTTGGGTAATATTTTTGACTTCTTTCTTCCAAAAAAGTGGTATTTAGGGTTCTAGTTACATCAAAGATCTTGAGTCCAGAGAAGCCCCTGAAGACAACATTTTGGTCAGGAGGTATGGGGGCAACCCTAGGTCAGGGATGGGACAGGGGAGGAATAAGGGGGCAGCCTCTGGTCACATGAGAGCCCTGACTGAGACAGCTGGCCAAAGCCTCACCTCACCTCATCTCATCAGGGAGCTCCTGGGTCTTCCTGGAGGCCTCACTTTCGGGACCTCTTTCCTCAAGGGTGTCCTTAGTCCCTTCAGGGCCTACCTCTGGAAGCAGCTTCCTGTTCCTCTGCTCCACTAGGAGAGGAAAAGAGGGTCAGAGGAGGAATGGAGGGGGAGATTTTTGGGGGGGTGAAGGGATTGATGGGCAAGGCCTGTGCCTCCCTTCTTAGCCCCCACCCCTCCCAGCTCTGGGGCCTCTGATCTGGTTTGTCTCCACGCCAACCTCCTGGTCCCCTTCCAACCAGTCCACTGGTGGGAACCATCTAACTGCCTCAACCAGGTGTTTCTCCCTACAAGAGAGAGGCCTACATCCCTCTCTCCACCTGGCGGGGTTTCCAGTAATCAAAGGGTGGGATCTCTCGAGGAAGATGAGATCGCTGAAGATCTTTTCCTTTGTACCATTTTGTGCGCTTCTATGTTGTTTGACTCTTTCATGAAGAGTATTTGTTCATTTTATATTTGGTTTAAACTAGAAACATATTTTCAATTTGCAAAAATAAAGACTATACTACTACACTGATCATTCCTCTCCTTCTTTCCTCTTCTCAGCCCCTCCACCCTGGCCACTGTCCCTCTGTCACCTGTCGAAGCCCAGAACCCAGAATGACCCATGGCTTCCCTCTGCCTGAATCTCTCTCACAGTGCCCGTCCATTATTGCTGGCATATATGGCTATACAGGAAGTTCTCTGGATTATTCTGTTGTTTTCTCATGTCCCCAACATGCATTCATTGAGGCCCAAACACACACCAGACATTAAGCTAGTCCCTAACAGGGGAGGGGCTGCCTGCTCTGTAGCTGGTTACAGCCTCCTGTCTTCTGGAGTACCAGGCCTCCTTTCCTCCCCTCTGGGACACTTTACCAGTAAAGAGGGGCATGATTAATAACTGCAACAGGATGACAATGAAGACTGACCATGTCTTGCAGTCCTTGCTATTGCTCAACCCAGTAGAGTACGCCTGGCCCCAGGATCAAGCCCAGCTGTCTTAGTCCTGCCTTCAGGGAACAACTAGCTGCCAGGGTCCAATGAACAAAACTCCCAAAAGGAGAATCTAAAAGGGGCATCCAAACGGAGAATCTTGGCTCACATCAATTGACACAATAAACTTGAAAAGTAATAAGTCCATAAAGATACACAAAAGAGCAAATGCTAATACAATGAATTATCAAAAAAGATGAATAGTATGCGTTTCTACTTAGTCTTGTTGTTCAGCATGTTGGGTTTATTGACTCACTGTATCAATGAAGAATACTAGTAAATGGAAATACACCAATCACAAGGCATTTTTCTCCATCACCACCATTTCCTGGCCCAAGGCACGACCCCTGTGCCACCCAAACGCCTGCATCGGCCTCCTCGCCGGCTGCTCCACTTGCAATCTTTCCGCATCTGCCTATCTCCTGTCCTGCAAGGGATTCCGGGGCTAAGTTCTTTTAAAATCCTTCTACAGTGAGTGGAGCGGGGCAACGGAGGGGAAAGTGGGGGACATCTGTAGTACTGTCAACAATAAATTTTAAAAAGAGATCCTTCTACAGAGGGATTGCAGTCTATCCGCCTACCTAACGCCTTGTTTTCTGTGTGCCTTATTTCTCCTCAGGCTAACTTCCTGTGGGTGCAGATCTCTGTTTCCTTCCAATCCACTCTGACTCACTTCCTTCAGGGAAAGTTGGCCAGTTTCTGGAGCCCACCTGGAAGGGAGGATCTCAGCACGTCTACGGGTGTCTGGCACCACCTTGTGTTGAGTCCTGGAAAATTCTTTGTGTTCCCACTCGCTGAGAAAAGCCTGGGGCCTCCTAGGTAAAGAAAAGCAAGCTCAGACCAATTTCTCAGAATGAGAACCCAATTACAAAACTTCCACAGGCGCGGCCCCTCACAAACCTTCACCGTCATCAGTGGATTTAGAGTTTACTGGCCACAATCTCCTCACTCGTGCTCATCTGAAAGTCAGGGGCTTCACTCTGCTTGCAGGGCTCTTTTTCCCTGCTGGGCCCTTGGCCTCTGCCTAACTCTCCTGTCTGACTTTCTTTCCTCTGTGCTGCTCTTTCCTACTTCTTATGAAAAGCTCTCCTCTCCCCCACCCCTCATGTGCCCTGTGTCTAGCTGATCCCTGGGCTACACTGACTTTCTAGGGGTGTTCCTCAGGCCAAGAATCAGGACAGGGAGTCATGTGAAACCACTGTGGTGCCCAGCCTGTGAAATCTGGAAACGCCATACAAGAGTTGACTTAAAATTACAGTTTCCTCTTGCTGGCTCATGGCTTCAGGAAAAAAACCCATCCTTTCCAGGGATGGGACCAGGCACATGTGGGAGCCGAAGGAAGACGCAGCCCTTCCTGCCTCCCTCGGCTAGAGGCTGCAAGCCCAGCAGAGGCTATAAGACCCCATTTAGGACCTCCGAGGAAAAAACTGAACAGAAACCTTCCCGGGTACCTGCAAAAAGCCCCAAGAGCAAAAGCACAAACCCTTCTACCGTGGAGGAGGTGCATGTCCCTGGTTGTCAGAGGAATGAGTGCCTGTACAAACCACTGGCACTCCCACATTTTCCTCCTGTACTTAAACCACTTACCTGCAGTGTGGCCACACACCTCCGAATTTCCAGGGGGTGCCAGTAAGTCTTCTGCCAAACTGCTCCTCCTACCGGCCTCGGTGCTTCTCCAGTTCCCTGGTTGAANAGTCTTCTGCCAAACTGCTCCTCCTACCGGCCTCGGTGCTTCTCCAGTTCTCTGGTTGTGGGGCTTCTGTTCAGTCAGATTTCAGGAGGCTCTGAGCGATGGTGGTTCTGTATTTTAGTTGTAATTCTGATGTGGTTGCGGGAGGCGGCGGGGACCGCGGTTACCTGCGCTGCCATCTTGTTGTCTGGGCCTTCCTTTTTTCTTTTCTTCCTTCAATTTTCTTTCTTCCTCCCTCTTTCCCTTCCTCTCTCTGTCCTTTTCTTATTTCCTCCCTTCTTTCCCTTTCTAACAAAGTTTTAAACTCTGAAGGAGAAATTTAACTTTGTCTTGGCAAAGACAAGCCTCAGGTTGAAGAAGTGATAAGAATCTTGGGTCTGAGGTATGGTTCAAAATGTGTCACCTATGTTATGGAATTGTACACACGAAACCCAGGTGATTTTATTGATCAATGTCACCCCAATAAATTTAAAAAAGAAAAGGAAAAAGAAACATGTTGCCTAAAAGCAAAAAGCCACGTTCTGGAGATGCGTATGGTATTAGTGGTGATGGGTATATGCGGGAGCTGTGTCTGGACTCTCAATCTTCCCCAGGGGGCGGTGCTCAGGCCCCTCTTCTTGCCTCTCTTACCCTACTTGGTTGTTGGAGCTTCAAGGCTTGGGCTGATCAGCCAAGGCCAGGTTGGGCTAAAGGTGCAGCCTCAGGAGAGAACAGGAGCCCTTCTGAGCCTGATGGAGTAGCAGTCTGACCTATGTGCTATCAATGTCTGCACCTAAGACTTTATATGGAAGTCCTGAGTCCCCTCTAAGATTCCTCACCGGGAGAGGGAAGGCCTGGGGAGGCCTCCGGAGCTGTGGCTCTCTAGGATGTTGACCTGTCTGCCCTATGTCAGCTCTCACAAAGAGGTGTCCACTCTCCTGGGCAGGACAAGACAGGAGAGAGAGGGATTTCTGTCAAAGCTACGAATAAACAAATTCTTTCCATCAGTGAGGGAAAATGTTGCCACGTGGTTTTCTTTAGGTTCCCTTTCTCTTTAATCTTTGTATATCCTTTACAGGTTTTTGGTTTGTGATTAGCATGAGGTTTATGTATATCATTCTCTATCTATAGCAGTCTGTTGTAAGCTGATAGGTGCTTAAGTTTGAATGTATTCTATAAAGATGACTACATTTTTACTCGCCCTCCATGCTTTATGTTATGGATGTCATGTTTTAGACCTCTTTGTATTGTGTATCTCCTAACTACTTATTA